GATCTTTGATTGCAGTATAATGCCAAGATTTTAGATCTGACTACTGTTTCGTTATGGTTGATCACTTAAGCTAACTATTTTCAATTTGCTCATCTATAAAACGGGTATAATGGTACATAAGTGACCCCAGTAAATGATAAATGGTGTAATTAAGCAATGTTTGTAAAGTAAGATGATATCTGGTGGTTTCCTTTTAGAAATATGCAGAACTTCCAATGTGTAGCTTGGAAAGAGATGGGTCTAAAACAACTGGATTTGAATTCTAGGCAAAGAGAATTCTCTTCAGTAACAAATACCACATTTTATCTCTAGTTTAACTATCACACCATCCTTGGACTTTGTGGATTTAACATCTGACATACACCAATTCTCAAGTTCTGATTAGGCAGGGAGGTTTAATTTATAGCTGATAATTTATATGGGTTGCATGGCTGAATTGTCTTAATAGTGTGAATTTTTTAAATACGTATTCTTCAAAAATAACCTTCTATAACCCTCCTCAAGACAGAGAGTAGCTACAACACAAATGATGTGTTTTAACTTAGGCGTATGTAGTGTGGATGAAAAAAAAAGTTATTGTATTTTGCCTGAGTTACCACAAAAAGTGTGCAGAATGTGGATTCATGGTGTGCAAATTGCGTTAGAGGATTAGAGGAGATTGAAACAGCTTTACTGACTGCAGTATTATAAAGTCAAAGCTATTTTTTAGCTTTCTATTTTTCACCATGTTGCACTGGAAAAGGCAAGACACTTGAAATATTTCTGTTGGTATTTTCAGGGGTTGATGCGTAACTCTAAGAGTAGTGCGGCCTAAAACTAAGAGAAAAGCCAACATCTCTGCGGCCTAGTGTCGTTATTTTAAAATGCTTACCATTCTTGCTTATTTTTCCGTTCTATTGATATCCACTTGGCAAGCCTGGGAAGCGCAAAAGGAGGGGAAAAAAAAAAATCTCTTACATATCCATGATCAAAAATGAGCGCCTGATGGCCTGAAGGTTGAAATAATTATCTCTGGTGGCCGTGCAGATCTCAATGTCAAAGCTAAGAACCACAGGGCAGCAGAATTAAAGCATGAAAACTGGCATGAGCACAGACAACTGCTTGAGGCTCTTTATTACTGTTTGATACAGCAGCCCTTTGTTGGAAATCTTGTTTTTTTGGTTCGAAAGCAACTGTGTGTGTCTAATCTTGCCTTTTCCTTTATCATCAATTCCATTCCCTCTGATATTTACAAAACTAAGCAACCTCGCGTGTGTTTATCCCGATTCCCGAATTAGCGCGGCAGAGGCTTTCTGCTAATCTGCAGATAGGTGGCACCGTGCGGACGGGTTGGGGACGCGGCGCCCGCACTCTCCGGCGCCGCAAATTAACCTGTCACTTTTATTATTTGACAAGATCTTCATTTTTATTCATCAGGACGCGGGCCAGGATGGGTGCGTTTATGGCCATTTGCCGCGCAGGGCTCTCAGCTGAGTTTGTGGGTATTGTAAGTGAGCTCCATTATCCCGCTTACAAGTGCACACAATGCCCGGGCCGATGCGCGCCGCTGATGAGAAACCAAAGTCAGTAAAGACCACATAAGCCGCCCTTGATGAAAAGATAAATGAATGCATAAATAACATTGTGCTCCGCTGTGTTTGCCGAGATCAAGGATAGATTTTGAAGGTTTGGAGAGATCAGACGTACAGAACCTGGAGAAACTCGCCCGCCCTCCACTTTGCATTCAGGCAGCATTTCGCTGTGTGCAGAGATGCTGAGGCACATTTTAATGCCTGCCTGGAAGCCAACAAATGTTTGGGCACTTTTCTGTGTGTTTGTATTTTCTTTTTAGGGAAAACACAAAGAAACGGCATTATTAAATATGAAACTAAAAGGAACCACTCCCCCCAATCGCTTTACATATTCCCTGTTCCTAACTCTGTTCTTTATGTAAATACTTTCACATCTATTGTGTTCTAATTATAAATGTAATTACAGAGGTAAATTAGTAAATTATGTTTGTAATTGTATTCATAAAGATTAATGGCATTTAAACGGATAGCAGCATGCTAACGTAAGACATAAATTCAAAAGGTGCGTTTCGACTGTATGCAGAGTACTGCACTAAAATAGCCTGTAAAAATAAAATTTGGCTAATTGAGTCTGTTGTTAAGAGTGGCAGCGCTGCAGCCATCTTACACTGCTACATGCATGTATATATTAAAATAAGAATTTTTTTGAAAGGGCTTAGCCATATTTGAGCTGTGGAATCCTCTAATTAAAAAAAAAACCAGCTTTGTAGATATCTGTTTTGTAAATAAATACAGGTTGATGTGGGGTTTTAAAGGAAGCGCTTTGGTGCAAGTCATCCTGCAATGTATCGTAGCTTCTGTTTCATGCAAATTGCCACTTAGAATATTTTGTTTTTTATGGGCAACGTCCTTTAATATAATTTACATTAGCAAATTAGGACATTCATACTGCAACCCTGAACTGCAATGAAATATGACCTGTCAAGAAGTGCGGTGGAATGATATATTTGGTATTTATAAAGCGGAGTAAATATACACATTTTACCTTAGAACTTTCCCAATTATTAAAA